AGCCCTGGGACCAGCTACATAATAATTTGTGGGTCCTGGAGCAAAATGAAAATGCAGAGCCCCTTGTTAAAAAATTCTTAAGAATTTAAAGATGGAGACAGCAGAATATGAAACGTCTGTGGGACCCTGGACAACTACACAGGGCTGGCATTGCATAGAACATACCCCAGCATGACATTATATATCTCTGTGTTTATCTATTCACTGTCCTTCTCCCCAGCTAGAACATATGCTCTAAGAGGGCAGGGATGCTTGTTTTGTTCACAGCTGAGTCTCCAATGTCAAGAGCAGTGCCTGGCACATTATTGGCCTTTGATAAAGATTGCTGAATGAGTAAATGAATAACAACAACCAAAGAAATGTGTGTGTGTGTGTGTGTGTGTGTGTGTGTGCGCACACACATTTGGATGATGTGGTAGATAGAACAAAATGACCCCGAAAAACATACTCACTTCCCAATACCTGGAAACTGTGAATATTACTTTATATGGCAAAAGATGTGATTAATGTAAGGACCTTGAGAAGAGGACCTTATCCTAGATTATCCCAGTGAGCCCTAAGTGCCATCAAATGTACCTTATGAGAGAGAGGTACAAGGTGATTAGTTACAGAGACCCACATGGAGAATGGAGAGAGACTGGGGTGATGCAGCCCCAAGTCAAGGTATGCCAGCAGCCACCAGAAACTGGAAAGAGGCAGGAAGGACCCTCCCTTAGAGCCTCCAGAGGGAGCACAGCCCTGTCAACATCTTGATTTCAGCCCACTGAAACTGGTGTTGAAATCCTGGATGCTAAAACTGTAAGGGAACAAACTCCTGTTGTTTTTCAGCCACTAGGTTTGTGAAAATTTGTTACAGCAGCCACAAGAAGCTAATACAGATGGTTGATTAACTGGATTGAATCAATGGGGAAGTGGATGGTTGAACCGATGGATGGATGGAGTGTAGGATAAATGGGAAGTGAGAACTGATAGAATAGATTAAAGAATGAAAGAATGTGGGTGGGTGAGTGGTTAGTTGAATGGATGCATAGAGCTTTGGAAAGCTGAAGAGATCTGAACAACCGATAGTTGGGTAGATAGGCCAGTGGGTGGATGGGTAGATATATGGATGGGTACTTGAGGAGGAAGCACAATATATTGAAAAGAACCAAATTTTACAATCAGACAGGACTCAGGTCCTTTGCTCAGTAACTGAGTGACATTGGGCAAGTATGGTAGCCATGAGGGTTCTCCCTTTGAGAAAGAACTAATCAACTGGGAAAACTGCATTTGGCCCACAGCTTCCAGCTGCAGTACCTGGAACCACTATTATTTTTGCATCGAGGTCCTGTTCTTTTCGGGCAGCCCCCAACCAATGACTAAGCATGGTGGTGGTGGTGATGTTAAAGCCTGGCCATTTCCACCCAATGTGGGACTCCTCTAAGGAAATCTTTAAAAGAAAAAAATTGAGGTCAAATTCACAAAACACGAAATTAACCAATTCAACCATTTGAAGATGTATAATTTAATGGCCTTTGGTACAGTCACACTGTTGTGCAACCATCATCTCTATCTACTTCCAAAACATTTTCATCTCCCCAAAAGGAAGTGATTAGGCAATGACTTCCCCCACGTCCCCCAGCCCTTGGCAGCCACCAACTTACTTTCTGTTTCTGTGGACTTGCTGATATGGAAAATCTATGTGCTTTTTCTGCCTGTTGACCTGAGTGGGTTTTCTCAGAGTTGAGCCAGTCTCTTCCTACCCACGCCTTCCTTGCCCCTCTCCTTTTTTTTTTTTAATTATTATTATTAGTTTCAGGTGTACAAAACAATGTAAGTTATACATTTCACCCCTCACAAAGTGGTAACCCCCTCCTCCCAATCTATTGCCCCTCTGATGTCGTATATATCTACTACAATTCCATTGACTGTTCCCTATACTATACTCCATATCCCATGACTATATATATATAAAATTATAGTTTACATACAATATTATTCAGGGCCCGGTTGTGACCCCTCACAACGTCCCAGCCTCACCTTTCCTTGACCTATAGCTTTCCTTGACCTATAAATTATCCCCCTGCAGCTTGAGCTCAGAATGTCCTCTGCCCCACCCCACTGTTTTAGAAAATTACCCTGAAACTTATGATCAATACCCTTAGGCTTATTAATCACAATCTCTGTGGTCTAGCATTTTTTCCAGGCTACTGCCATCATTGTTCCTGGGTTGATGATGCCACCAGACAGCCACGTTACCAGACTCCTGGAACCATCACGTAGCCTCTGGAGGAACGGCCAGATTTTCTCTTAAATACCCCAAGCCACTTTGAGAATGTTAAGACAGTTTTTGGAGGTGTTAACCTGCTGCCTTCTCAGACCACCAGGGCTCTGATATTAAACGCTTATTCTATGACCCAGCTCCTGTGTTGGTCTATTGGCTGAGCGGCTCAGGCAGCATAAGCCCCAGACTTGGTTGGCCTCTGGTTTCAGTTTCACAGGTGGCAGACTGATGTCCTAGCCTGAAGGCTTTTGCTGCCCACCCCTGTTCACTTTATCTTTCACCGGCATCACTTCCAAAATATTCTTTCTGTTTCTGACTCCATCGAAGTACTTGCTTCCTGGAGGACCTAATGACACAATAAGACTGTGAGGTCCAGGTATCTATTCTACAAAGCAGCAAAACCTCTAGGCCTACGGATGGCTCTTTAGAAATGTGCAAGTCACCTGAGGACCCAATGATGTCAATACCTAGCTTTACATGGCATTTTGTAGGGGCCAGGCACTGTTCTAGGTCGTCACATGAACTCACTCTAGAGCCCTGGCACCATTATGATCCTTGCTTTTACAGATAAGAAAACCAAGCTCCGGGGACACCTATATCCCCTGCCCTGGCACAGTTTCCCCTCTGGGAAAAACAGTTCCTGTCCCAACCAGAAGTGGTTTCCTAAACACGAAACTGCAACATTATCTCACTCAGAGGGAGATGACAGTCTCTTCCCTTAGCTGAGCCAGGCCAGCAACTCCAGTTTCCAGAAGGATCCAGAAGAATCCAGGTCCCCAGCCTTCGTGGACAGTGGGTGGAGCCTAATTCCCAAATTGAAAGTAGCCCACCAGGTTTAATTAAGCCCCTTGACAGGAGGGGACAGGGAGGAGAAGCATTTGGAACTAGGTGTGGGTGGGGGGGTTCAGGGATGTGGAAGGTGGGGGGGGCGTATGAGAACTTGTCTCACTCCATCAGGTACTTTTTGTTTGCTCGTTCCCTGCTGTGTTTCCAGGATCTAGAACAGTGCTGGCACACAGTGGTTCCGCAGTCAATATTTGCTAAATGAAACACACACACACACACACACACACACACACACCAGGAACTCTGATCACCCTCTTGTCACCAGCAGCTAATGTACACCCCCTGAAAAGAAACAGTCCTATACTGAGTAAGTACCATGTGCCAGGTGCCCATCCAAGGTGGACTGTGCTTTTATTTTCCCACTTGATTCTTTCCACAACCCCCCAAATAAAGGGACCAGCTCACTGATTCCACATCACAGCCCTCTGAGGTAGTTACTCTTATTATCCTTATTTCACAGATGAGGAAACTGAGTTGCAGACAGATGAAGCCGCTAGTCCCAGATCATACCATCAGCAAGAGGCAGAGGTGGAGATGCAAACCCAGTGACATTACACGTTGTATCTACATATTGAAGAAACTGAAGCCCCCTACCCAAGGTGACTGGAGGCAGAATACTGCCCCCCCACCCCCACAAAGGTGTCCACATCCTAATCTTCGGGACCTGTGACGATGGCATCTCACATGGTGAAAGGGACTTTGCTGGTGTGATTAGATTAAGGATCTTGGGGTGGCAAGATGATCTTTACTATCTGGGTGAGACCAATGTAATCATAGGCTCTTTATAAGTGAAAAACGGGGTCACTATCAGAGGAGGGGGCATGATGACAGTAGCAGACTTTGGAGTGAGGCACTCTGCACACATGGAAAGGGCCACATGCTGAAGGACGTGGGCATCTCTAGAAGCTATAGAAGGAAACGGCAAGGGTACGGACTCGCCCCTGGAGCCTTCAGATGGAACCAGCTCTATCAACAGCTTCATTTCAGCCCCTAAGACCCATGTCAGACTATGACTTCCAGAACTGTGAGCTTATAAATGTGTGTTGTCTTAAGCCATTAAATTTGGGGTACTTTGTTGCAGCAGCCACAGGAAACTCATACAGGTGCCAAGCTCTTAAGTGGCAGAGACAGGGTTTGAACTCAAGTTTCACCAAGTTGAAAGCCCTGGACCTTCTGGGCTATCTCTTGGATGTGTGAAGTTTGGAACTATTCCAGGTGCTTTTTAGTCAAGAAACCGACACTTCGACTTCTACAAGGATTAAGGAATCTGGTCCACAAAGATGCCAGTGACACCTCAGGGCTATAATGAGAATTAGTGAGTTAACCCACGTGGAGCACTAAGATGTGTTAAAGATTACATCTCTTTCCTGTCTACATACCATCAGTGTCAGTTCTTCTCTGTCTTCCCTGCTCAAGAACCTTCCACGGCTCCCCAGTATACTCAGGGTAACGTCCAAGCCCTTCATGGCAATCAAGAGCTTTGGATCCTGGATCATTTCTCCTAGTAGGTCCCACACTCCATAACCCACTTGACCCGCACAGGCCAGGATTCAGGGACCACCTGGACTCGACTGAGAAAGCCTTCCTGCAGCTAGCAAACTCACACCCGTCTTCTTTTCCAGACCTTCATCCATAACCACACACACATTTGCAACCATTGTTAGTCAGCCACTTCCTCTTCTGGGGGCCACCATGCCCTGTGCTACGTTTGCTATAATACCTTGTATTCTAATCGTTGGATCCATGTGTGTCTGCTCTTCAGCCTGGGAACCCATTGAGGACAGGGGTGGATTCTCATTCTTGATTGATCGCTGGGCCCTTCAGACACTTGAGTCCCCAAAGAGGTGGAGTCCATGGATTATTACACAGCCATGAAAAGGGATGGTGCCCTGATACATGCTATAACACGGATGAAACTCAAAAACATGATGGTCAGTGAAAGAAGCTAGACACAAATGGCGACATAGTATATGATTCCATTTATGTAAAATGTCCAGAATAGACAAATCCATACAAAACAGAAAGCAATTTGGTTGTGGCCAAGGGCTGCGGGGAGGAGGAAATGGGGAGGGATTACTTAATGGGTAAGAGGTTTCCTTTTGGGGTGATGAAAAAGTTCTCAAACTAGATAGAGGTGGTAGTTAACCTGGGTGTGTGCTAAATGACACTGAATGGTTATTTTAAAATGGTTAATTTTGTTTTGTGAATTTTACCTTAATTTAAAAAAAAGAGGTGGGGAACTGAGGAAGGAGGCACTCCCTAGGTGTGAGGGAGGAGGAGCTGGGGGCTGGACTCCAGGGCCTGGGGGAGCAGGAGGAGGCTGGGCCCAAACACCCAAGTACCAGGAGAGAGGAAGCCAGAAAATAGAGGGCTGCTGTGTGGATAGAGCAGAATTGGGTTCTAGTAGAGGAAGTCTTTGCTTTCCTGTGGAGATGTCATTGTCAAGGTTTCCCACCCACCCACGCCCTGTCTGTTGGGGAACTCCAGCCCAGCAGAGGAAGGGAGAGGGGAAGGCAAGTTGGGGGAAGGAGGCGGGGTCACTGGGGGCCCTACACCCAGCAACCTAAGGACAGAAAGTACACTCAGAAAGGAGATGGACCTGCAGGCCTGGATTCTGAGTCCCTGAAAAGGTAAGAGCTGGGAGGTTGGACCTCAGGGGCTAGAAAGAAGTGCATGTGTTCTAGAATGGTCTGGGGACCCCGACTTCTGAGTCCCCCAGGGAGGAAGGGTGGAGAGAGCTGGAAGCTCCAATTTGTGGGTCCTGGGGAGGATTAGGGCTGGGAGTTTTCAGTTGAACCCATAAAACAGGAGGAAGTTGGAGGCCCTCTAAAGCTAAGGTGCTGCCTGGTAGGTTCTGAGGAGACCAGAAGTGGTGGTTTGGGGGTGAGGTCCCTAGAAAGTGGGAGTCAGATTACTGGCCTGACACTATCCTGCAGGTGTTCCAGCTCGTTTGGACTTTGGATCTGCGAAGCCCCGCCCCACATCCCAGCTCTTCTTCCCTGAACCTCTCATGCAGCCCCAGTCCTGGGACTGAGAGAGACAGAGAGACAGAGAGACGGACAGGTGAGCATCCTGGGGGGAGCCCTGAGGCTGGCAGTAGAGGGGAGGGGCTGGGAGAGACCTTGGAGCTGGGTTAAGGTAGCACAGCTGGAAGAAACTCCAAGATCAAGGTTGAAGACCAGTGTTTGAAGGACAGTTGTAAGATAGGGAAAGTGCCCCAGGCTGAGAGCTGGCCTCATCCAACCAAACCCCGGTCCATACTTATGTCTGGGAGCCAATGGGGACCTCAAAGGCAGGGGACCTCAGAGGCAGGTGGCCACAGGAACCTTAGGGCAGGTTCCTCACCTAAAATGGAGGGAGGGAGAGGGAGAGGGGGAGGGAGAGGGGAAGGGAGAGGGGGAGGGAGAGTTGGAAGACACACGCAGAGATATTGGTGGTCCCACACTTCCCCTACAGAGCCTGGCATGTGGGGCTACCTGTCCATGCTGCCTGCTTTCCTGGCCCTCTGGGCTGCCGCTAGCATCTGGACAGTGTGAGTGTTAGAGGCAGGGTGATGCTGGGTCTGAGGGAGGAAGGGGATGGAGGCCTGGATTCCTGGGTGGGGAGAGGCTGGGGGGCGGGGGGCCTGGACTCCTGGGTCGGAGGGAGGAGGGGGGATAACAGAAAAGTTACTCAAAGCCGCTACTCATTTGATGTTTTCCCTCTCCTTCAGTTTTGCCATTGCAGTGGCCAACAGGACTGTGAACCTCACGGAAGGCATCCCATATATCAGGTAGTTACGGCACTTGGTGGGTCCAGAGGGAGGAAAGGGAGTGCTGGCTCTGAGGAGCCACAGGATGACCCTTTATCTTCCCCAGTCTCTGTGGATCGTACCCGCCTCAGAGCTGCATCTTCGGCCAGCTGCTCAACATGGGAGCTGCTATGGGTAACTGTGCCCCAGCACTTCCCCTTCAACGTTGCCCGCTCCCAGCCAAGGGGACCCCAGCCCCTCCTTCCTCAGACCCAGGAGTCCAGGTCCCCAGCCCCTCCTTCCCCAAATCCGGGAGTTTGGCCCGCACCCCTGAACCCCCGGTCTCTCCCATCCCACTACCTTTCCCCTCCCGGGGTGGGGCCCGGGTCTCCTGCCCACTTCCCTCTCCTCCCAGCCGCCTGGATCTGCATTCTCCGTTACCATCAGCTCCGGGACTGGGGCGTCGGGAAGTGGTTTAACCAGCTGATTCTGTGGTCGGGGCTCCTCTGTGCGCTGGGCACCTCCGTGGTGGGCAATTTCCAGGTGAGATTCAATGAGCTCGCAGAGCCCAGCCCCGGGTTCTGGCCAGCCAGAGGATGGGACTACAACTCCCAGCATTCGTTGGGGCCTCCGGCTTCTTTTTTCGGGGGCTGTTCCCGCACAGCCTCCTGGGGCTTGTATTTCTCTGTGGCTCTCGGGCCCTGAGGGGGTGATGGTGAGTTCTGCTATTTGAATGGAGCGCCAAGTGGGAAGCTCTTTATAATTATTTGGCTGCACCCTAGGAGGTTGGGGTAATTCACTGCCACCAACCACCCCCATGATGAAATTACTGAGACTCACTCATTTTTTTTTTAAAGATTTTATTGGGGAATTGGGGAAGAGAACATTGTGTTTTTCCAGGACCCATCAGCTCCAAGTCAAGTTGTTGTCCTTCATTCTTAGTTGTGGAGGGCACAGCTCAGCTCCAAGTCCAGTCACTGCTTTCAATCTAGTTATGGGGGGCGCAGCCCACCATCCATGGGGGAACCGAACCGGCAACCTTGTTGTTAAGAACACACGTTCTCACCAGCTGAGCCATCCAGCCACCCATTGGCAGCTCAGTGGCAGCTCAGCTCGGGCGCAGCTCACTGGCCCATGTGGGAATCGAACCAGCGATCCTGTTGCTCAGCGCTCGCACTTTAACCAACTGAGCCACCCGGCTGGCCCAAGATTCACTCATTCTTAATGTCTGCAAACCACATGGGTTGAGTGTCCACTTGGTTTTACATTCTGTACTATTTTTATTCATCGGCACAAGAACTCTAGGTAGGTCCTTCTTGGCCAAATCCCACAGAGATTTTTTTTTTTAATTAGCTGGTCCATGGTGGTCAGAAATGAACCCAGATTCATAGACTCTAGAGCCTGCATTCTTAACAGTGAAGCTCAGTAGATCTTTGTAGAATAAACGAATGGAGAAATCTCACTGATTTATTTTATGTTATCATTTTACTTTACTATAATATCTCTGATTCCAAAGATTGGTGAAACCCCTGGGTGTTCAGACCAGAGGCTGCCTCCAGCTTGTCAATAATGACCCATCATATTTGTACAGCCATTCATTCACTTATTCGCTTATTCCTGTGTTCCTCAACCTTCCTTTTTCTTTTACTATGACATCACTCCCCTGAGGAGCCTTTTAAAGACATTTTTCCCTAATCACCCCTTGTCACATGAAATTTTTAATATTTTAAAATTTTAACATAACATGTACCATGTATTGTTAAGCCACAAATCATTGTAATATTTAATAATTTTTTGCCCTCCAAGAACCAATTTTTACTCCGTTGGTGGTAGTATCAGCTTTCCCCCACCCTGGTTGAGAATGAAAGATTTATTGCCCTCATATTTATGAGTGTCTGCTATGTGCCAGGCAGTGTTTTAGAGACCGAAGCTAATCAGTGAGCCAATCACTGGGCGTGGCAGTTGTCAATCACTGTCCCTGGGCTTGATCGGGGCCCCTCCCGCCTCATGGCCCTAGCCTTCCCACAGGTCTTCCCCTCAACTATCCCCACTCCTCCTCCAGCAAAAGAACCAGCAGGCCACGCACCTGACGGGGGCCTTCTTCGCCTTTTTTGTGGGCCATCTCTACTTCTGGCTGCAGCTCCTTCTGTCCTGGAGGATGAAAAGCTTACCCCAGCCCGGGGCCCCCTGGATCAGGCCACTCCGCCTGGTCCTCTGCAGCCTCTGCACCATCCTTATGGTGACCAGTATCCTTATGGGGGCTGGGGGTAGGGTTGGGGTGGGTGTTCATTGGGGTGGGTCTGCTATGTGCTAGTCTGGATGCCCCCTCCTTTCTCAGCCCCGCTATAGCACAGTTGTCAGAGTGACAATTTGGAGTCATGCTGCCTGGGTCTTGCTGCCTTGTCCACATACTAGCTGGGGGAAGGTCTGCTGGTTTCTTAACTTCTCTGTGCCTCAGTTTCCACATCAATCAAATGTGGATAATGACAGGGCCAACTGGGGGTTTTAATGAAGATGATACATGTGAGGTGCTTAGATCAATGCCTGGCACATAGTAAGTGACCAACAAGTATTGGGAGGATGATAAACCAATCACTTGGGTTACCCGCAATCCACTTGGGATACCTGCTCTGTGCCGTGAAGCATGCTGGCTGAGACTAGAAACAGAGGTTCAGACAGGGGGAGTCTCTCGGCCAAGATCCATCATAAAATTCAATTGTGAAGGGCTGCAGGCTGTTCACACTGGCTCTCAAGGGCAGTCTGTGTGTATCTCTTGCCAACTCCACGTTGGGTGATGTCATGTTAGTAGCTTTAAACAGCCATGGTAGGAGTACTTAGGCTTACATCACAGGAAATGGCAAACGCTTCAAATTGGAACTGATTAATAATCATTTACCAGCACCTCTGGGTGGCATCTCTACTCTAACCCATTTCTGAGTCAGCCCAGAACCCAGCCCGGCACACCTCTGGGTGAGTCAAATCTCTGTCTGAGCCTCAGTTTCCATGTCTATAAAATGAAGTTGCTTTTATCATACTGATGGTTATCACAGCTAGGCGGAGTACTCTGAGGAAGAGGAGGGGCTGCAGACTCCACCATTGGGACCACTTGCCTCTGTGGGGAGAATAGAAGGGAGGCCGAAAGGACCTTTACATTCTCAAGAGGCTGGAAGAAGTCCAGTTGAGGTCCTGTGCTGGCTGCACTAAATAGATCCCGTTCACTCCCCAGAGCAGCAAATTGAATTGCATGGACCAGGTGGGAAAGGCTACTCCAGCTACAAACCAGCATATCTCCTCTGCTGGGCCCAGTTGGTGATAAGATCCAGCCCAGCCCCTTTCATAGTCCCCGCTGGGCTGATCATCAGTTTAGCTACAGAGTCCTCATTCTGTGGGGCTTAAATATCCCTTGGCTGCCGGGAAGGGGGATGGACCATAAAGAAGGCTAGCTGAGTGTGGTAAGGGCTGGACATCTGCAAAAATGGGTCTCAGACCTTGCAGATTCTGAACTGGTCCTGCAGAACCAGCGGCTTTGGGCCTGGGTCAGGAGGTTGGGGACACTGCAGGTGCTTGCATGCAGAGGGTGGAAAAACCAGGAGGGGAGGGGGAGATACGGCTTCTGGCAGGGGTGGAGTTGATCTCCAGTGCTAAGGTGAGGCATTAGAGGCTTGGGCTTCTGCCTGGGGGCAGTAGAGAGCCATGGAAAGCTTGTGAACGGGAAAAGAACAGGTTAGTTCTGGGGGTAAGCAGCTTGTTTGGGTGCTTGCACCGTTTTTCTCAAGAGATCCATGGGGTCAGGCGTATTGACTGCCTCAGAATCCTTGAATGAATGAAATAATGTCTAATCTGATCTGGCGGGAGTGAGTCCAAGCTAACTTGGCTGAGAAGAGGGAGAGTGTTCCAGTGAGGGAAGTTCCAGAAAACAAGAGGCATCTCTGCTAGGCTGGGGCTTGGAGTATGTGTGCACTGCAGTTAGAAAAAGGTTTTAGGGAGTTGGGTCTGGGGAGTCAGTGAAGGGACAGGGCAAACCAGCAGAGATAGATGGAAAGCCAGAAAGAGACAGGCAAGGCAGGCAGAACAAGACTTGGGTCAACCAGCTATCCATGGTACATGATAAGAGGTGGCGAGGGTGATTTGGGGCACATGAGTGGATGGTGAGGCTGTCCTATCCGGAAAAAGGGTATTTTAGGAGGAAGATTCAATTCTCTTTGGGAGTGAGCAAGAGGGACCTGAGGGCCATGGGTGGGTGAATGTCTTTAGGAAACGCTGGGTATTTGGGGGTGGAAGCAACGCGCCTGGTTGTCTGTCACGGGCAAGCAGGGAGATGGCAGAGGCTTCACAAGGTCAGGGGGAGCTGATAGGAGGATAAGAGCCTTGGGATACTGGGATATTGGATAATGAAATAAGAACAGGAGGGACATGCAGGGGAAAATATTTGGGAAACAGCTTGAGATGGAGACAGGACAGGAGGGCATCCCTTTGAGTGTCCTGGGACTGTTGAGGAGGGTGGCTGGCCAGAGAGGTCATCCCGCCAGGGCAGGGTGAGCATGGCACAGGGGGGTATCGAGAGATGGCCTTGCCTGCCCAGTCACACGGCAACCCAGCTGGGTTCCCGGATAGTTCCTGTGGCGGTGTGCCCTTGACCCTGGTGTAAAGTGGTCATCCTCCACACCTGGCCGCTGCGGTCCGCCTCTGCTGCCTGTGAGTGGGCCGTTGCCATGCTGCTCTTCACACTCTTTGGCCTCTTGGCTGTCGACTTCTCTGGCCTGGACAGCTGCACCCTGTGTCTCCAGCCGGGCCCCAGCCTCAGCCCTGGGCCACCAGCCTCCCCCATCTCCCTGCAGACCCAGCCAGCCCAGGCGCCCTGACCCAGACCTTGCCCTCGCTGGCGGAGGCAAAAAAGGTCAATCCCTGGAGCCCCCAAGATGAACCACAGGATGCAACTTCGGGGATGAACCATCAGAGATGAACTTTCAAGAATGTGCCATCTATGCCTCTCCTGGTACCTAGAGGGTGTACATGTGTGGTGGGGCTGTAAACAACTGGTTGGCTGGCATCTTTGTGCCCTTCTGTCCCTGCCGTCCAGCTCCACCCCTGCAATCAGGGCCACCCAGGAAGTGAGAGGCCAAGGCCAGCCAGCCATCCCTGATCAAGGCTATTTATTATTGTTATTAAATTTTTTTTTTTTTTTTTGGCCACCGGCGGAATCAGAGACAGGGACGCAGGCAGGATCACGTGAAACCAGAATTCCTTCCGGAGAGCAAATCCGTACAGAAGGTCATGGAGGGAGGGTAAAACCAGGGGAGGGGGAGCCCAGGAAGGGAGAGCTGGGGATGACACAAGTACAGATGGCCCTGTCCATCCGGATCTGCTAAGCCACCCCAACCAGCCCCCGTCCCTCCCCAACCCCACCCCACAGAGAGATTGATCAATAAATAAAATAATAAATTAATCAATAAATAAAATAGAAACAGCTCCCCGCCCTCAGAACCCCCTAAAGCCACCCCCCCATTGGGCACGGCCGCTTGAGCCCCATCCCTGCAGGGCAAGGCCGGGTTTGTTGTGTCTTCCCCCTCCCTATGTATTCCTTGGGCCCTATTTACAGATTCACAGTTGGGGGGCAGGGAAGGGGGGTGGAGGGGGCTCCCCTCCTTCCCCAGCCCCCTGGGGTCAGGGCAAAGGGGTCCCGTTGGTGGCCAGGAGTTTCTTGTCTTTGGGGGGTCCTCGGCGGGGAGAGCTGGTCAGCTCTGGGTCTGGGCGGCCAGGCGGGGGCTGCAGGCTTCGGGGTGGGGTACCAGCTGGCCGTGTCTGGGCCCCGTTCTTCTCATCTATGGGGAGAAAGCAGTTTGGCACAGGCTCCAGGGCTGTGGAGCCCAGCATGGAAGTTCCTGCTATCAACTGGTCTCAGTAACCCTAAGGCCACCAAACCCCAGGGATAGCGCTCCAGTGACAATGTGCTGAGGCCCAAGCACCCAACATAAGGCTGGAAGCCTGGGGAGATGGTTGCCAGAGGTAACCAGACCTGGCAACCCTAGAACAACAGGTCACACATCCTAGGTTCCCTCAGACCCTTGTGGCTTTGGAAACCAGGCCAAGTTTGTCCAAGTGAGACCCTGTTGCCCAACTTCAGGAGACATCTCAGAGACTCTAGTTATAACACTCTTTGCCAAGGGACAGCTTGTGTGGCAACAGATAAGATTTGAATTCCCCCAATCATAGCCAGAGGGTCTCTCATTTTCCACTACCCTGGTTGTTAGGGGGAACGCTCCTTGGCAATGGGGTCTGGGGTGCCTATAGCAGGTTGTTTGGGGGTCTTGGGCCCTCCCAGTTGGACCTGTCTGACTGGGGTCACCTTTTTGTGGGGTCTGTCTTCCCCAGACTAGAGGACCGTGGTGGTAGCACTGGTTGCCAGTCGTCATCTAGCAATTTTTATAGGGTCCAAAACAGTACCTGAGGTCCCCTAGTAGAGACTGGCCCCCTTAAGAGACACTGATTCCTGGAGGCCTCATTGTCATAGCAACCAATAAGGCCCTTCCCCCTTGTGGGGCAGACTGGGAGGTCGCCCCCTGCCCTGTTCCCCTTTATAAGTTACATGTCTAAGGCCCCAAGGGTACCTGTAAGTCCTGCATCTTTAAGGGTGTACCCTTTTGGGAACCCTGGTTGCTAAGGCCACCTTTCCTTGGCAACCAGGTCCAGAAAGGTTCAGGGAGCCTAACTCGCTTTCTGGTTGTCTGGGCAACCAGGCCCAGTGGAGATTAATGATGCAGGGTTTCTCCACTCCCCACTAGTGACACTTGGGGCCAGATAACTCCTTGCTGTGGGGGCATCCTGTGCACTTTGGGGTATTTCGCAGCCTCCTTAACCTCCATCCATGAGATGCCAATAACACCCCTTTTCCCCCAAAACTGAGAAAACTGAGACAGCCAAAAATATCTCCAGACATTGCCAGACGTCCCTTTGGGGGTTGTGGAAGGCCGGATCATGTCCTGCTACAAAGCGATCCACCCCCTGATACTGAGAACAGTGATTATGTTACTTTATAAGGCAACAGGAATCCTGTAGTTGTGACTAACACTAAAGTCCTCAGGTGGGGCGATTGTGTTGGATTATCTCAGTAAGTTTTTAAAACCTTTCCCAGCTGAAGTCAGGGTTGCAGGGAGATGTGACCACAGAATGACCTTCAAGAAGATGTCGTGTTACCAGCTGTGAAGATGGGAGATGAGCAAAGGAATATGGGCCTGTGGCCTCTCAGAAGACAGAATCGGATCCTCCCACCCCATAGCCTCCAGGAGGGAGCGTGGCCCGGTTCTTGGGACACTTTGATATTAGCTTTGTCATTTCTGACGTTGGTGAAATGGGCCCTGAGTCTGGAACCACTGCTCCCAAGCAGACTTGACTCTGGGACTTGGGGTTCTCCAGTGACAAGGCCACCCAAACTCCTGCCCCCATGGCTGGGGTCCTGTTTACCTGCTCCCTGTCCCCATGGGGCCTATGGGATACCTATTCCAAGGGGAGGAGCTGCCATATCTCAGGAGTAGAGCTGAGCAGGACTCTCTCCACTTAGGAATTCGGGTCATCTCTGGTTGTTAGGGAATTCTACTTCCTGACAAGGAGCCTAGCATCTGGGAAGCCCCACCCCCTGGAGCACAGGGTGCATGCTCCCAGGTGAGGCCCAGTCCTTGAAGGCCAGCTCAGCAGGGCCAGAAAGGGCACCAGCTTCTCCAGGAACCTGCTCACAGGTCTGCAGATGATGCCTCAATGAAACAACAGTGTCAATGCAACAACAGGTGGTCCTTGCTGCCCCACAACTAAAGCCTCACCTGCAAACCAAATGCTGCAGCATATGGTCATCAGGAAGCCTCCCCTTCACCCCACAGGATAGAAGAGGGAGATAGCCCCACACCCCTGCTTCCCACCTGCCAGAGCCTGTACGGAGGGCTGGTCATGAGTGCTCAACAGCTGTGCCTGGATGGTCTCCACGACTCGCTTGAACCGACGGCTGGGACCTGGAAGGGGCAGGGAAACAGACTGACTTGGGGACTGCTGGGGACAGGGAAGGCCCTCCCATCCTGTGGAACCTGTGGTCTCTCCACCCAGCAAAGGACTCTCCTTCTCTTGGTCTCAATTTCTCCCACTCTATTGGGGCCAGGCATAAATCCATGGTTTGTAAATGGAGCTAAGAAATGTTGGATTTAAAATAACAATGGGTGTTGTTTACTATTTAAGTGGGTTCTATTACGTGTTAGTTTCCAGTGGAGGCCATGAAGCCAGAAATGTAAGAAAAATCAATGGGAGGAAAAAAATCTTAAAACTGAGAATGTTCTGCATTTTAGTCTTTAAGGAAGAAAAAAAAAAAGCCATAATTCATTTTGGTGATGTAACACCCAGTGTTCCATAGCAACCTGGTTTAGAAACTATGGGAGCAAGCTCATCTCCCAATTGTGACATATTAACCCTAGTGACAAGGAGAACAGACAAAGGTATCCCTCCTTCTCCAAACTTATTATCAGGACTCATGAACCAAGTAGAATTGGAAAGAAGGCATTTCTGTGGTTTTCATCTCTTGTGCCAACTCTTGATTGGTTGTGGCTGCCTGGAGTTTCTGAGGCTGCTCTGAACTCAGCAGGAAGAACTGCTGTGACCGATTGGTAATGTCTGCTCTGGGTGAAGGAATGGAGCTTGGTTTCTACGTTTTCCACCGGTGACAGCATCACCCATGTCTTCGCTCTTCTGACATAGTCTTTTTTTTTTTTTTTAGCTGAGCCATCCTGCCACCTGTTGGCAGCTCAGCGGCAGCTCAGGTTGGGCTGGGAATCGAACCGGCAACCCTGTTGCTCAGAGCTCACACTCTTGAGCAAGCCCTTAAACACCTGAGCCATTCAGCCAGCCCTAGAGTCTTAAAGTAGTAGGAAGAGCTCTGTACTGGGAGGTCAAGAGACCTAGGTTGAGCCCCAGCTCTGTCACAGTGTGCAGCGTGACTCTGGTCAAGTCAATTTAGGACTCACTTTCTTTTTCGTCAGATGGATGATTACTAATACCTCAAAGGCTACTGAGAATCTTTGAGGAAATAGTGAAGCACTAGGCACATTGTAAATGCTGTTATGACATTAACTGTGAAGGGAGAAGATGTGGGTGTCTGAGTGAGGAGGGGGTTCACCAGCTGAGCACCATCTCCTCCTCCCTCATGCTGCCCTTCTGGGCTGCTATCCTACCTCAGCTGCCTTGTGTGTCCCAAACACTGGGCTGGGGCCGTCTAGTCGAGGTAAACTTACCAGAGATGAGAGTAAAGGTGACAGAGTAGATGCCGCCACCACCACCACCACCATCCCGTCGTGGGGAGGGCTCTGGCCCCTCAGAGGAGCTGATGTCCACCTGGAAGCGGACAGGCTTCTGGAAGACGGAGGGGCCACCGCTGGCCTTGTACTCAGCCCTGAAGCTGGTCTGTGACAGCACACTGTGACTCAGGCTGGGGATCTGAGAGAGGTGGGGGACATAAGGAGGGGGTGACTCCAGTGACCTGATTCCAGGGAATGGATAATCAACCCTACCACTGCCTCTGCCCAAGGAATTAAAAGTCCCATCAGTCACTGGGGCAAAAGGGATAATAAAAGGCATCAGGATGCCCCTTGCCTGCTGGGATTTGTAGTTTTCTCCCTCCTATATAAACAGGGTACAAGAGGAATAACTGAGCAACTGATTCCCAACACAATGGTAAGGGAATGGCAAGTCATCAATCCTCAGGGGACACTAATATGCGGTAACTGTAATTCAGAATTCTATTTCACCACTTCCAGACCCCAGGGCACAACAAACCTCTCCTGCTTCCTTTCTCCCACAATGACCAAACCCAACTCTGGCTGTAAAACTACAAATCCCATGAGCCCCAGGAGGAAGTCAGGCCTGTGCTAAGGTGGTAAGCCCCAAGGGCTGCTGGGATTTGTAGTTCTGTGGTGGCCTAGGTCCATGGGCACCCAGTCCCCTCACCGACAGGAAGGCATGGACAATGTCTGCTTTGATGCTGCTGAGAGGTTTGTCCTTTAGCACGAGGAATATTTGTTCTTCTTTGTCCAAGGAGATGAAGTTACCAAACCAGGAGCGTTTTGCCAGCCTAAGTGGGAGGGGATGGTTGGAGGAGGGTCAGGAGGGGGCTAAAGGAATGACTTCCCCCTCCTCTCCTCCATCCCCTCTTCTCTTTTTTGTCAGACTCACTCTGGAGAGGACTCTGGCGTCAAACTGGACATCTCCTCTGCGGTGGGGACTGGAGGGGGGAGGGGAGGGTATGGTCAACACTTGTCCATCATCCTCGAGTCCAGCACACAGGCCAGCAGTCGCCTCCAACTAGGGGGTCCAGACCCAGTGTCTATTCACCTCCCAATAGCTAAAAAACCCCAAATGACAGGCTGCCTGATGTTTCTAGGGCTGCTGACCCATTAGGCCAAGCCCCTGGGTGGGGCTTACTCGCCATGAGCCAATGGGAAGGTGAGCCAGAGCACCCAAGAGGCGTGTCCTTCAGAGGAAGAGGCCCCACCTCCTCCAACACCTGCATCTCTGCTCACAACCCCATTTTCTAGGATGTGGGAATCCGGGCCTCAGACTCCTCCCCACATTGGGACGTAGGATTTCGCGCTCCCAGGGACCCTGTACCCTGCATCTTGCGCCGGTGAAAGCGAGGGGAGCCCAGGAAGCTGTTGCGGATAGAGTTGAGACGACTCCTCCAGGCGGCTCCCCCGACGCCACCGCCGGGGCTTGGAGGCGGAGTTGTTCCCGGGGTCCCAGTGGGACTGGCCCGGGGCGTGTGCAAGGGCGAGTGCAAAGGGGTCCCCCCGGAGGAGCGTGGGGAGCCTGGAGGACCAGGCAGGGGCGTGGAGCGAGCACTGGGGGGAGGGGGCTGCTCCCCGGCGCCCCCACCCCTGGGGCCCCGAGAAGGCAGCGTCTGCGTTTTGGAAGTCGGAGAGCCCCCGCCCCGAGCCTCATCTCCAGCCCCCGGCTCCGGTGAGAAGGAAAAGACCGGACTCTGTGGAGGAGCGGAGGCGGGTAAGAGGACTACAATTCCCAGGAAGCTCTAGGCTCCCATTCACACACTCACGCAGGAGAGCCCAGATGCATGCTGGAACTTGTAGTCCGATTATTTCTTCCCCCCCCCCCATTGTTAAGGGGGCAGGGACTTTTTCTATTATGCTCTCCGCTGTAAACCCAGCAGTGACTGGTACACAGTAGTCGCTCGATTAGCTTCTTTTAAATGAGTAAATGAGTCCCTTAGACAGTAAACACCCAACCCTATAGAGGTGGCAATGGCCCATGGATTAAAATACTAACGAGGCCTTGGGTCTTTTGGCCCTTTAGGGACAAGGAGGCAATATCTCTAAACTTCATGGGAATTATTTTGTGCTGCTCGATCTTTGCTCCACAGGATCTTCAACCCCTTCCCCCTTCCCAATTCATTGGGGACCTGGCCTTACCCTCGGGCTGCTCAGAGGACTGGAGGACAAACCAGTGGAGGCTCCACTGACACTACGGGATCTGTTTCCAGGATAGATTAAAAAAAAAAAAAATCAGGAGTAAGGGCTTCAAAAAGCTCAAATGTCCTCTCCCTTCCAAATGAGGAAATGAGGCCCAGAAAGGGCAGGTGACTTGTTCCAATAACACAGCACCTTGGAGGTGGGGATGGTGTTAGAACCCTTAAGTCCCTTCCCACCCAGGACTGTAGATCCCATTGGAGGGGCAGGGTTCCTACCTCTGGCTGTGCTGGGCCATCTCCAGGGCCCTTCGGGTGGGTACGGGGGAGCCACCACCCCCGGCATCTGTGATGCTCAGGACTTCCATGGACTTCCGCTCTGGCCGCCGCTTCCCGTGACGGCTCAGCATGGGGGAGTCCACACGCTTCCGAGGGGGGTCTGAGGGCCGAAAGTTTCAATCCAATCAAAAGACGGATTCTTCCAGCTGTACATGGCACTCAGCCAGATGGGGAAACTGAGGCCCCAAGTGAAGAGGTGTTTTGACAAAGATCACAGAACAAGTCAGAAAGTCTATAAACCCAGAGCCTCAGGTCCTGCAGCTAGCTCCTTTCCCCCTTGGAAATCTGGGGTCTGGACTCCCAGCCCTGCCTTCTCACCAACATCATTCCGGGGAGGCAGGTCCTGGTCCTCACAGCTGGGGTACCGCTCCTTCCGATCCAAAAGCAGATAATATATCATCTTTTCTTGGTTCTCCCTATTGAGGTGGATGGTGGAGGGTAGGAGAGGATTGGAGTTAGAGGTCAAGTCCCAGAGTCAGTCTCACCCCCTCCTCTCAGCTGTGGCTCTCTGAGAGTTCAGTCCACCCAGTATCTCTGTATATGGTTGCATTTTCCTAGGTATCAAAATGGTTGGTTCCTTTGTCTTGGTGTATATCTCAGCATCGCTTTACTCAATAATAATAATAAATGTAATGATGATAATAATATCTAACATTTGAGCATGTACTCTATGTAAGTACTATGGGAGACACACCATCTAAGTCTGTCTCAGCATCCACTAATACTTTTCAGCATCGTCTGTCTTTTCCCTTCTGGTCCTACCGCCCCCTCGTGGTTCCTCTGGGAACAGCTCCACCCGGGAGTTTTAAGCCACGCCCCATCTAGAGGCCGCGTCTAGGGCGCTGCCGCGTCCAGCGAGTCTGCGCGTGCGCCAGGTCAGGCGCGCCCCTGTCCGCCCGTCGGCTGCGGCAGGAGATACCGCAGTTCACCGGGAGTGTATTTTGGCGAAAGCCTTACTCCTCGCTGCGCAGCTCGCGGTGCAGCCGCTCGCGGTCCCTGAAGCAGCCCAGGGAAGCCATGCTCTCCAGGACGTCGGGGTCCAGCTCTCCATTTGATGGCAGGCTCCGCATGGCCACCCTTCGGCCTGGGGTTGGCTCCAGGCATGGATCCGGCTCATGTTTCCCACCCCTGGGGAGGGGAAGAAACATGATAGGGAACCCAGCATCAGGGATTCCAGCCTTCCCTTTCACCTGAGACTCGGGGGTCCTGGGTCCCAGCCTTCACTTCTCTTGGGAACTCAGGAATCCAGCCCCCCCCCCAGCCCTTCCTCAATGCAGAGAAGTCCAGGCCCCCAGTCCCTCTTCCCTCAGACCCAGGAGTCCAGGCCCCAGTCTCTCCTGTCCTCCACCTGTATCCTCTTCCTGTAGGACCCAGAAGTCCGAATCTCTAGCCCCTCCTCATTCAGGAACTGGGACATCCCACCCAGTAGCTGGCCCTCCTTTTTTGGGGGGGCCCTTGATATTTGGGCCACTGTCCCTCCGTCCCTCAGGAACCCCTGTGTCCAGTTCCTCCATACTTACAGGTACCAGGGATGTTTTTGAATTTGCTCCAGCTGTGAGGGGGTGGGTAGTAGAAAAGAACAAGTGAGGTTGTATGATCACAGTTGGTCGCAATGAAAGTTGATGGGGTGGTGGGGGTCCTTGACTGTGCCCACTACACTCCCAAGGGCAGGATGACTGTTCTTGTCTCCCCTTAGTGGTGGCTGAAGGAATTGCCCTGTACATGTGCCGTCCAACTACTCTGGACCCTGTCTGGGCCACGTGGGAGGGCCTGTCTGGGTAAAGGGGAGAGGGATGATCCTCCCCGTTTTGGAGTGGCAGGTTTGCAGGACTTGGTGCTCCTCCTAGCCATCACCCCAGGGACTGACAGGCCAGTCCTGGAAATCCATCCTCATGAGTCCCTTAGGGATTCTGTCCTCATCACCCATTGTCCTTGTCCCTGTCCTGGTCCCCCCAACTCACACTGAGCCTTTTCTCTGGCTCCACTTCGATCATCCCCCTCAGAAGGCTCTGGCAGTCTGGAGGAATGAAGTGTGGCATGTGGAAAACTCCCCGTTTCACCTTCTCCAGCAGCTGGCGGAGGTTGTCATCATCGAAGGGTAGAGCTCCCTGGGTGACAAATCACCAGCCACTGTCCCAAGCTCTTCCAAGGCTCCTGGCTGCCCCATCCCTTTTGGGGACCCCCTTGGACCATCCCACAGCTCTGTGACTGAATGGTTACCTCCAGGATCTTGGTCTGCTGGTGAATACACCCCCCACCTTCCTGATACCAGTTAAATATTTGAGAGACAACCTATGCAGTGAGGATGGAACTTCAAGTTCTATGCTTCCACCAGGCAGGATTGTTCTAGAAATGAAGCAGGAGAGGTGAGGGGTACCTTACCACAAGCAGGGCAAAGAGGATGACGCCACAGCTCCACATGTCTGCCCGGCGGCCGTCATACTTTTCTCCCTGGAAGAGAGCAAGACCAGCCATGAAATTCACTTCACCAGGCTCCCTCCACTCCTCTCCCCACCACCTGCTCCTCACTCACCTTAATCACCTCTGGACATGCATAGTGGGGGGACCTGAGGGAGAGACGTGACGTCAGCCTCTGGCCAGCTTCTAGCCCTCTCCTGGGGACTCAGGAGACCAGGCCCCTGACTCACCCACAGCTGGTCTCCAGGAGGCTGTCCCCCACCTGCAGGGACGCCATGCCGAAGTCTGCAATGCGAATGTTGTTCTTCTCATCCAAAAGTAGGTTCTCAGGCTTCAGGTCTCTGTGGCTGAAATAGGTAGGTGGGGCTCAGGCCTCTGTCTCCCTCCTGGAGGCCTAGGCCCCATTCACTACCTCTCAGGGGGGGAACACTTCTGGAATCTCTGACTAGAGACAATTTCAAACATGTCCCAAGGTAGATAGAAGAACATACATAGAGAAGCCCCTGTACCCATTCCCTGGCTTGAGCCATTATGAACTCAGGAAAAATCTTCTCTCGGCACCCCTATATTGTCTCTCTTTGCCCCACTGGGTTATTTTGTGGGAGCCCCCAGACGTTGTATCATTTTATCCACAAATATTTGAATATGTACGAGGCAAGATATTTTGAGGTAAACAGGGCTGATATTGAGCTGGCTCTTTAAATATTTAAATATTTCCGTACTGAATAATAAAAATAAAATACTGCTACCCCAAGCTTGTCACTGGTCCCTCCCTCAGGTCTCCTTCCTCCAGGGCCAAACTTCTTAAGATTTAAGGGTTAATGTCTGGTGGTGGGGGCGGGGACCTGGGGATTCTACTATTTCTGTTGCAAGTGGTCAGAACTGGGTCATACTGGTTGTTAAATATGTTGACTATAGTCCCTTGGAGGTCAGTATTTTTTATTTTTTTTTAAGATTTTAATTTCTTTTTATTTATTTATTTTTTTATTGGGGAATTGGGGGAAGGGGAACAGACAAGTTGCTATCCTTTTGTTCCTCAGTCTAGCTGTGGAGGACGTTGCTTCACTAGCCCAAGTTGGCACCATTGCTTCACTAGCCCAAGTTGGCACCATCATTGCGCTCTTCCTGGGTGATCAGTCACCGGCTTCTGGACAGCCGCTCACAGCAGCTCACAGCAGCTGCTGGCCGCTCACTGCTGGCTGCTTGCTACACTTGGTAGCCCATGCCAACCCACCTGCCATGTTGCCGGTGACTCACTGCAGCCCAGCTCCAGGTCGAGCTGCTGGTCAGCATTTTAGCTGTAGAGGGCACTGTCACTGGCTCTCATATGTGGGATCCAAACCGGGGCCCTCTGGCATCCCAAGCCAGCTCTTAACCAACGCGCCACTCGGCCGGCCCGGAGTCAGTATTTTTAATGTCAGGGTTTAGATGCCATAGTGTCAATAGGGAGGTGTTGATAATTGAAATAAGCTGCCTTCTTATCACCCAGCTTTACGCCCAAGTCTGAATCCCTCCACCCTGATCCCCACCCCATCTCCAATTCCCATCTATTTTGCACCTTAATTAATCATAAACATGCTGCATACTAAATATCTTGTTTTGAGAGCTGAAAACAATTCAGAGAGGAAAGAACGATGTTTTCCTGTGGGCGTTGATGTCCTAAAAAAGAACCTCAACTCTTACCTCCCACCAAATACAAACATTAATTTGAAATGGATCCCAGGCCCAAATGCAAGAGCTAAAACTATACAACTTCTAGAAAAAAACATAGGAGGAAAACTTAGCAACTTGATCTGGGCAAATATTTCTTACATCAGACAAAGCATGAACTGTAAAAGCAAAAAAAAATCAACAAACTGGAATTCATCAAAATGGAAAACTTTTGCTTTTCATAAGACGTTGTAAAAATGCAAAAGTATGTCACAGACTGGAAGAAAATACTTGAAAAATATACATTGATAAGAGATTTGTTCCTACAATAAATCATTCTTACAATTCAGTAATAAAAAGACAACCAATTCAATTAAAAATGGACAAAAGATCTGCATAGACATTCCCCAAAAAAAGATATACAAATGGCCAATAAACACATGAAAAGATGTTCTACACCATTAACCATCAGGGAAATGCAAGTCAAAACCACAATGAGATCCCACTTCACACCCACTAAGATGGCTATAATCAACCAGATAATAACAAGTGCTGACCAGGATGTGGAGAGATCCGGACCCTCATAGACTGCTGGTGGGGATGTTAACTGGTGCAGCCATTTTGAAAAACAGTCTGGCACTTCCTCAAAAGGCTAAACATAGGGCCGGCCAAGTGGCGCGATGGTTAAGA